AACAAAAAAAGCAGAGAAAATTGCGTTTTTTTTTGTCAAATACTACATCCGGATAAGATTCAGAACAATGATCAGAACATTAGTAGATAGTTTCCATCAACACCTCCAAAGCTTCCAGTCTTACACCACTTCCTGGGTTGATATTTAGATTTTATTTAGTATTTATTTAGTATTTAGTTTTGTTTAATGTTTGATAATCACGTTATTTTACATATGCATCTGCTTACATATGCTATAAAGTGTTTCTTCTTCTTCTTCATCTGTGTTTTGATCCGGAGATTTTGTACCCTTTCAGATCATGTGTAATAGCGCCCCCTACCGTATAAAATAAAAACATGGGAAGCATGAAAATTCCATCAATTGCGGGGAAAGTGTTAAATTAACACCATACTACTGAATGCACCTTTAAGAGCAACTACCTGCTTGAATTGGGAAGAGTCTGTATGTTTTTTCATAGCCAAAATACAGCAAGGCAACCTTTTGTTTAGCAAACATTTGTGTGCAAGCATGCTACAGATGCTGTTCTCAGAAACGAAGTGGAAAATAACTTGAAATATTTCCTTATTTTTACACACTGACAAACAAACAAGCATTACTAACAGGAACACAATTACGTATTCAGTATGAGAGGTTACAATGATGCGCTTCAGTAGCTCTCTGAGGCAGATGAAACTGTCCAGCATGTTAGTGTTATCATTTACTAAAGCTGAGGAAGGCACTTACCCCGTCTGATGTAGGGGCACTTCTTGCAAAGGACGACAATCTTTGTGCTCATGGTTTTGCCAGCCTGCTGGATAGCAAGGTTACCTTCCTTGTAGACATTAGTTATGGAGATGGTGGCGTACATGCTACCTCCCCTCGTTACAGCGGTGATGACCGTTCCAGTGATCACTAATGGGTCAAAAAAAAAACAGCTTTAGAGACTAATTTCAATCACTTTAATTACACAGATCTATATCAAAATTTGGGCTTTGACAACATTTTTGTCTTTATTAGGGAGATTTTCTTAATTTCAGTACTTTTTACTTCAAATAAACTAAACTATGGAAGCCTGTTTCCGCCAGTGAATAAAAAAAAATAAAACAAGGTAATTGCAACTTTTTACCTCATTCTTTCTCAGAATTGCGTGGTATAAACTCGCAATTCTGACTTTTTTTCTCTGAATTGCGAGATTTAAACTTGCAATTGCGAGTTATAAAGTCCGAATTTCGTGATATAAATGCGCGATTCTGACGTTTTTTGCGAATTTACACCTTGCAATGCTGACTTTTTTTCTTAGAACTATGTGATATAAACTTGGAATTGTGAGTTATAAAGTCAGAAATGCAAGATATAATATCGCTATCGCAAATTGTTAGTTTATATCCCACAATTCTGACTTTTTTCTCCTAATTTTGACTTTTTTCTCATCATTGCGAGTTTAAATCTCGGAATTCTGACTTTACTTCTCAGAATTGTGAGTTTCTATCATGCAATTCTGACTTTATAACTCACAATTGCAAGTTTATAAAAAAGTCAGAATTGCGAGAGAAAAAGTCAGAATTGCGAGAGAAAAAGTCAGAATTGTGAGGAAAAAAACGTCAGAATTGTGAGATAAAAAGTCGCAATTACCTTGTTTTATTTTTTATTCAGTGGTGGAAATGGACTTCCATACTAAACTCCTTCTGATAGACCAAGAAGTAGAAGCAGCAGAATCAAACTAAATGATTGGGAAATTTTGTAAATTTGGGGAAATGAAATAAATACATGAAATGGTAAATTTGGGAAATGTTAAATATGGCTAATGTGTACTCTACATGTGTTTTCAATCTGACATCCTAAACTTGCGTTTATTCATTTGTTGGTACATAAAGTGTGTGATTATACAAATTTGACAGGATGTGCTTGTAACTTTCCACCTTCGTTCACATTCAGATCTTGTTTCTCAATGTGACTCTGCTCTCCGCTGACCACATGTTTTCCCTGTATGCAAATCCAAGTAAACAGCAGAAATCAGAATGAAATATCTGCTCGCTGCTGGACATGAAAATTGCAGACCTGTTCCAGGGGCAGCGACTGCGGCCAAAGAGCTCGACTGAATCAACACTCCCATTTACCAACCGTTTACCCACAGTCCACTGCAGTCTATTTACACTAGAGCACTGTATCCCACACACAAATCCACTGTGCTGATGGCAAAAAATGCTCAAGGTATCTTTTGAAACACACTGACACAAACCAGCAGGCCAAAGATAGCATGCTAAAAAAAAAGAGCCATAAAAACACACACTTAGATTACAGACAAAATGTGAACAATCTGTGCTTGTTTCCACTTACTCTGTTGCCCCCCACCCACAAGGTCCCACCTCACTTTGCACTTGTGTGTGTGTGTGTGTGCGCGTTTTTGTGACAAATGAGGACATAAATTTGTATAATGAAAACAGTTTTCTATTTCAATATATTTCAAATTGTAATTTATTCTTATTTTCAGCATCATTATTCCAGCCTTTTAAGTCATTTAAATAGGGTGGTTTGACAATAAAACCTAATTATGGTAAAAATAAATAAATAGTTAAAGTTATGTAAAGTTAACTTTTATGAAATTAATTGATTAGACATGCTTTTTCATTATTAAATTTGAAATAAACCATTAAAATGAAACAAAACAGAATTTAGGGAAAAAGATTCAGATTTGGGGAAAAATATTACATTTTACAACACATTTAATTTATAAAAATGTTATGTTTGTTAAGCTTTTAAAACATTGTTGTTAAATTATATTGTAAGTTCCATTATTTCAATTAACCAGACAAGCTTTTTAATTGCTAAAATTTAATTTAACCATTAAAACAGAATTTATAAAAATTCAAACAGAAAAAAAAGGAATCCAGAAAAAAATAGAATATGGGAAAAAATAAAACAGAATTTGAAGGAAAAATATAAATAAAACAGATTTCCCAGGACATTGAACATGGTAGCATTTAAATTCAAGTTGGGGATGTTGAAGTTGGCGTTTTCAATAGGCAAGGCAACCCCTGTAATGTAGGCTAACATTAAACTCACCAACTACATACAGTGTGATTAGGGAGAATTGCCCTCAGCAGCAGGTTTTGTGGGTGTTCTTACGTATAGGTCTGGTGGTGGGTGGTGCTGTCGTGGTCGGTGGAACGGTTGTGGAGGGAAATTTCTTGGGTCTAAATTTGTAATGACCAATAAAGCCATCTGCTGTTAAACTGAGATCTGAGAGGAACTGAATGAAGAGCTGATTCCCTTCTGAGAACACGGGTCTAAAGCAAAGAGATACACAGAATGTAAATAAAGTAGTACTGCTAACAGCTACATGCTTATATATTGAATATAGAGCAAAGGACTGAATTAATATGATGGATATAACATATATGATACATACGCTGGTGGGCTGTCACCACAGTATTTCCCAATTCTTTTAGCATCATTGATTTCTCCACCATTAAAAATTGCTACGTAATCGTAACGGCAGTAGTTGTCCCTCTCCACATCAAACTTCTCAAATTTCACCTCTATAATCTGTAAAAAAAGAACAAGTATTTTAGCTATATGCAAATCACACAGAAGCAATATCTGCAATAATGATCACATCACACTTTAAAGGGGTCATGTGATGCGATTTCAAGCAAAATAATGATCTTTAAAATAGCATCATGTGACCCCTTTAAATCAACGGTACTTGCAAAGCTGGGACTAGGGACTAGTCTAGTACTCCAGGTGAAAATTGTAAGTCTACAAGCTTTGAAAAATAATTGCTCAGGACATTTTGAGGTATCATTCCTTTATGTAGACAAGTTAATAATAATAATTCACTAAAAACAATTGAAATTGTAATATGATTCCACCTGGTTCTTCGGTGCTACTATATGCCAAGAACACGTGACTCCAGCAGGATAGTCTTTCTCTGGCCAGTTGGGGGTCTTGAAGGTTCCTGATGGCTTCATTAATCTCCCACCACAGTACTGATCTCCTGTAAACATCCAGCCAGACAGGAGTTTACGAAAGGTTTCCACTTTTAAATTCCACAAGAGGAACACTAAACATAGACCGAGCATCCAGCATGAGGTTGTTCAGCCCTAATTAAAAGAAATGCATGAGATAATTGCACAGCATCATATTCAGCAGGCTTTAAAACGCATTTCCCTACAGTCTTGTCATTACGAGAGAGTTTAAAGACTTGTTGGTCCCAGCGTGGAGCTTTTAAATGTGCAGTAGGAAGGAAGATCATGTACCGTTCCAGTCTTATTCCTTCCAGACCCTTTTCCCCAGCTGATGCTTCTAGAACTGAATGTGGGATTCAAAAGCACTGTGCATTGATTTTGGTGCTATTTTTAAGACTATTTTTACAGCAGAAAATATGACAAAAGCATACTATAAAACTATCTGTGTGCGATTTGAAACAGGCCTTTTTGGATCTCTATGCTATACTAATAAGATTGAATGCCACTAGACCAGTCAAGAATGTCTCAAGTCATATAACCGTAAGAAAGAAATAATATTTTGCATGTAAAAGTTAAAAATTTTTTAGATCCGGAAATACTTTGTTCTATACAAGCTTCTTGTGCTAATTCAATTATAAAGTAAGCCGTTCCAGGTTTACTTCCAGGTTTAGCATCCAAACCAGCTAGAAACAGCAACACTGGGTCAGCCAATGGTGTGAGTTTGGGGCGGGACCATCTGTTTTTCCAACCATTGACAGCCCGGGGGAGTGTTTAGGAAAGCATATTAATACATTTTTCAAAAAAAAAAATAAAAAATCTTCTTTTCCAACAAAAAGTCATGATTTTTCCAATACTGTACGTACATTTTAATAAAATTTTAATACAGTACAAATCGCATATTACAGTAATGACATCTACAAGAGTCTAACAAGAATTAATGAATATAATACTGGAATTTTACAGAATATAATACTGGAATATTAATGAATATAATACTAATATAATACACATACTGGTAAAAAATGTATAGCCTGAATGCACTGTAAGTCGCTTTGGATAAAAGCTTCTGCTAAATGCATAAATTAAATTATTATAATGAATTTAATGAGTAAAAAAAAAGAAAAAGAAAAAAGAAACTCTCAAAAGTTAAATTAACAGACACATTATGGGGGAGATATTCTTAAAGGGGTCATTCACCAATGGCAAGATGGGCTTCTAATAAAACTTGGCTGTCTATGCAGTAGAGATTCTAAATTGTTTTGAAATTGGTACAACATTGCTAGAGAAAAGGGGCTGCGGCATTTTCTTTTGCCACAAACTTCAACACCCATAATGCACTGTTGAATTTGGCTCCGCCCTTCTGTCAGTCCAACTGTCCATAAACGGCGGGAATGCAAAAAATGTGGACCTTCAATCTGTAGTTTTAACAAAAGCCCTGGGGCTGTCAAAAGTCCACCTGATGACGCAAAATTACGCATTTTTGTTGACAAATAAACAGGGATATCTGGATGCAGGGAACATTTACACATACTACCAAGTAGGGACATTGTAACATTGCATTGGTTGAAAATCGGCGAACTATCCTTTAATTGTCATGAAATTAATGTGAGAATTGTCCAAAAATAACAGGTAACCAAACTAGTAAGCACTGATTCCACAAAACCAAAACCTGATAACATCTGTGATCATGATTTGATGACTGCAAGCTTCCATTGTTACCAACACACAACAGCTGTCCATTACCTCCTGATGGACAAAAAACAGAGATACATTCGAAATCATTAAAGTTCCAGCTGTCCTGCTCTGGCCAAGAAGATGTCTCGTCGCTTATACAGTTACTCAGTGATCAGGATGGCCTCTGGGGGGTCTGACCAATCACTGAATCACTGACTCTCTGTGAGAAATTCCGGCGCCTGAGGGGGCCCGGCCCGGCTACCTCGGTCACTGTGCCCCCTCACCTCTGGTGCCGTCTCAGTAGTGGGCGCCCTGATTTTAGTCGGTGAGGCAAGGTACTGCCCTGGGAGGGTTTCCCAGGCTGTTAAATACAC